TGGAACGGTAGGGTGAGGCGAGGGTGTCAGACAATTAGCAACTACACTGTTAGATGCCACAAAATCCTACACACTGGTCCCAAGTGTCCGTTCTGTAAATGACCAATGTGCTCTCAGGCCAAACAGTGTCATTTTGGGTGATAGACATAATCTAAAAAGTCTATACTTGTATTAGATTGTAATTGCTTATATTTAACCATTACATCTAAGGAAAAACCTTCAGTAATTGGTCAAAATGTAGAGTATATTTTATCCAGTAGGAAAAATGTCCAAATTCTGTTGTTTTTTGAATGTATGGTATCTGAGTTGCAGCTTATTGTAGTGTACTAGAACAAAAAGTAGGGGTTGAGCCTCCAGCCATAAATTACTCTTAACTCCTGGAACACACTAAACACATTAATGATGTATAACCACGTAGAGCTCCCTGAGGCCGGAAGTGTCTTTAATTAATTAGCTACTAATTAATGCTGTGATCCAGAACGCGCCTCTGTAATGGCAACAAAGTGGACAACACAAACAGATTCCCAATGACTGTAACAAACAGGGGTGTTCCACACTTCAAGCTGTCCTGATCCCCTGGGAGTCCTACAGTCCTACATACATCGATCTGTGTAGTTGTTTTTTAGCTGGCCTGAAGCCTGACTCATTAAAGTGAACATGAAAGTCAGTTTTACTCTCAGTAGCTGCCTATAAACACACTAAGAGCAGAGTTGTGCATGTGGCAGGAGAACAACAGTGCAACTTCAGAGAAAACACTGTGAAGTACCAGAAAGCTGTTCACATGAAAGGAGAAATCCACTCTGTCGCTGCACCATCCATGAGAGTTATTCTATGATAGTTTTGTCATTTATTTTTGTTGAGTGTCTGCTGACCTCTGCGTCCTCTACTTTACATCTAGTGATTTTCAACATATTTAGGATATTGAGAACTCCCAGAGCATGATTGGGAAGGTGTGGGTGGACAGGGCAATTACGATCCTGTCAGGAAAGTACAGCGGATTTTTCCCTTATCACAAGGGGTAGAAACCAAACTCACGCCCTGAGAAAATGATTTACCAAAACCCCAAACTATTGGTACAGAGTAAATAAATTATAAACAATAATAATAATAAACAATTTATAAATTGTTATTAATGGCCTTATGAATTATTAATAAAGTTTTAGGCCATTAATAAGAGACCCTTGATTTGCCAGGATGTGAAAAGTGCCCCTAGTTCAAGCACAACACTTGCTTTAGCTTTTTTGCTCTTCAGTTTAACAGTAAGACCCACCAATGAACCATTTGACCTTTGACTTTTTGGAAAAAAGCTGCAGAGCATCTGGACCACAATCCACTTATCAATAACCTTTTATTACTCTTTCCACTGGGTTACCACAGGTTTTTGTGTTTGATCTGCTTTCTTTTCTATATACACCACCTCTTTTGGGGGTTGCCATTACCACACAACACTGACATATCATCACATTTTAAGGTGAAACAGTGAACTTGTTAGCAACCAGTTGCTTATTCCCACAGAGCAACATTATCATTCAATAGAGTCGTCTTTCTGTCCACCTGATGAGTCCAGTATTTACTCTTGTTTTAGCTCTGTTTTTGGTCTTCACCAACTCCTGAAGCATATATCTGACTCTCACACTCCTTATTACTCCAATATGTTAACCAGCTAGTCCCTAACTGTGTCTGTCTGCTGTTTGTGCTGAGCAGATGGGGTAGAGTGGGTTTTTAAGTTTTTTTGATGAAAACAGCTGCCTGCTGCAGACAAAAACGAAACTATGAGGGTGGTGAGAGTGAACAGAAATTACTACGAGTGACCTCTTTCTCATTGTTATTTGATAAAAATATCGATTGTAGCCACTTTAAATGTACATAATAGGCCATGTGAACATGCTCCTAAGACTTAAAAAAGGACTGGAGAGGTTTTTCTCAACCTGGCAATTAAAAGTGATTCTTTTCTCCGTCTATCTATAAAGCATTTATAAACCAATAATGAAGCCACAACTACATTACAACTTATAAACCCTTTATAAATGGTCTTATGCAAAGGGATACCAAACATTTACAAAGAAAAACAAACTCACAGTGAGCCAAATGAAAACCAGAAACATCACAACCTTTATTGTTCATGATCTGTTTAAATGTTCTGAAAGTCTAAACAATTAAAGATAATGAAGTTGTCAGGCTGAATAATAAATACAGATGATCGTGTCAACTGGACAAGGTAAGAAGGTGAAAGAGCATTTACATGATTAAACATTTTCTACATTAAATATGGTTAACTGAACTAAATCATTGAGTTTACATGAGATCATTGTGTACACAGTACAATATATACTATACAAAGTTTAGATAACAGCCTACATCTGTTTTATTTAATCATTCTGCTATTCTCCCATTTAACTGATGCTGTGTTTGTTTTTCAGATTCATTCACGAGCCGTTGAGATTTGGGCAGCTGACAAAAATATTAGACATTAACCGTTATAAAATCCCTTTCACTGGGTATTGTGGTTCCTTTAAAATATCAACATAAGTTTGGTAAACCATGGGTGAAATGTGTGCCTAAAACAAATTGATCAGTGTCCTAAATGTCTCTAAAAGCAAATCAGTGTGATACATGTCTAGAGAAGTCTTTTTGTAAACAGACCACATAGATTTCTAAAAGAACAAACAGTCTGACATCAGAGGCCATAGCTGCAATCACATACACCAGTTACACCCATTCAGGGCAGTAGCACCATGTACAGCATTATGGAGAGGGACCATTTAATTGTTCTTCATAGGTAAAGACACAGTTCCTTCCCTTGGATTGACTCTTTGCTGAGGACAAAAAAAGTTTTTGACAAAGTTGGTAAAAGTCAACAGGGTGACAGTGGACCAGTCACCAAGAACTACTGCACCATGTTGTTGGATGTTAGATTCAACATTTGGTCAAAGCTCCCTGCTTGTCTGCACTTTAATCAACAATTTCCAAAATATGGCTGCTGTGCTTCATATAGTGTCTGTGATCTGACCAGTCGATCAGGTTACGTATCACATTACAGTGAGCTGAACGCAGTCTCTTTGGCTCTGTACAGCTGTTGTGGATTACATGTTCCATCCCAGTCCAATGTGGGTGGCCAGCAGGTAGCACATGCCGATCATACACGTCATTATCATCATGGGGAATCCTAACCTGTAAGAAGCAAGGAAACAACAGATTAATAGCATGAAAAGGCTTACTGAAAAACCAACAATGGTGCAAATAATTAATAAAGAGGCACAAGTGTGACAAGCTCTAAAATTGCCACTATACAATGTAGGATATATTTAAGATATCTATCTCTCATTAATTCAATGTGTTGTGGTTTGTAATGAGGATTACAGTCACAGAGTTGCTAGAATGTCTTGTTTATATTTTGATATATGGTGTTTTGTTCCTTTCATTCCCATAAAGTATATTAAACCTTTTTATGCAGACACTTGGAAAAAGGCAGATTTAGCTCATCCACAGTGATGATCTGCTTTTAATATTGTCAAAGTCAATGTCATTGTTGGATGATAATGCTATGCAGGCTTTTGCCTGCACATAGCAAAAGAAATACATACAGTATAAACAATATAAAGAGTGGATTGATGTACCTGCTGTACCTCAGTCTCATACCATGTACAGTACAATTGTCAGAAAAGGCATCAAACCTCTCAACAGTCCAAAAATGTGTAATTGCAGACATATTTGGCTCCATTTGTCTCTACAGCAGACAAATGGAGATGACTGCCTGAAGCATCTTATTCATGAATAAATAAGGTGGTGGGTGCTTCACTATGTCACGTGACACCACAGCTTCGCTCTACAGCTATTTTGTGTCCCTCCTCATTATACTCCAGTTTAATGTCATCTGGGATGCCATAAAATTCAGACAAACGCAATCACGGTACCATTAAGACCATGATATATGTGAACTTTTAAACGTTCTTTTGTATTTTTCCTCAAATTTTAAGTTGGCTTCTCTTTACCTTCCCTTACCTATTAAAGTTGTTTTGCCCATTTGTAGGTCAGAGCTGCACGGCCCTACTGGAGTTACCACAAATTCAATGTTTGTCAAAGGACACTTGAGCCTACAGGTAAAGGTTTGTCTCCAAGATAGGCCCAATGAGATGTTAAAACGGGCTTGCATATTATTTGCCAAATGAAATCACATCATGCTTGAGGAAAGAATCTAAAAAGTCTTCAAGTGAACACAAACAAATGAATAGTCCAAAGTTGGGCACCTGTGAAAGACTTGTTGTGATGCCTTAGGAAATTGTGATATTGTCTGGCATTTGCAAAGGCCAGAGCTGTTCTCATTGTAATGACTGCAATTTACTTAGCCTTATGACGCAAGAGCAATGATCACTGTTCGCAGCAACCATGTAAAACTGTATTGAGTAGACTACAGGTCAGACTGCTTTACCAGTATTTCATTCCACAATAGTATCATACATTTGCAGTGTGTCCTTAGATGACTCCAGAACTACAGATGGTTTGTCATTTGGATGTCTACCATGTCCTATATGGACACATGGCTGCTCTGAGGGCCAGAGATCTGTTTGCCCCCAGTCTGTGACACAGATCAGTTTTGGAGGGCAAAATAAGAAATGAAACTACATGTTTATTTAGTGCGACAGCAATTTGTCTTAACACAGGAAAGATGTAATTAAAACTGTAGTACCCCTACTGAAAAAACCCATATCATTAAAATATCATTTAGAGCAGATGTTGTGCACTAGTGTGATGGTGCAGTGTGAGATGTGAGGCTGAGTCTGATAGACTCAATATTGCAGTCAGGACCAAATAAACCAGAAAAAAGTTAAGCATGATAACAACAGGTTAATGGGCTGTTTGTTTAACCACTGAACAGCAATAAACAAAAACAACATTAGATTTTATTTGGTCTAAAGGTAGTTTTACCAGCAGAGATACCTTTTTTAGAGTGAAAAACTAGCTATTCATTGCAATAGCTACGGTGGCTCACACTCAGGTCAGACAGGGCCTCACAGACAATTATGTGAAATGGCAAGGTTAACTGCACAAGCTTGAATTATAGAGAGATGCAAAAGGTTACATGTCTCTTTGCTGTTTGTATTTCTGGTTCAGTTAGCACTCATGTTCACTTTGTTGGGAACTGACTCATAGGTGCCTATGACTTTGTTTTATTTTTTAACCTACAAATATGAACTTGCTTTTTATGGAAGTCTGTAATTAAGCATGTTGGGAATAGTTATTAAGACAAGAAATCTATTTTTACCACTGTGAATCTGACTTTTAGGAACTGCCAGTATTCACCTGCCCTATCTACTAAAGGCAGAAAAATTAACAAACAGGTTTTTGGTATTTATGGTGCCCATTCACTTGCTGAAAAATCTGTGTAGTTTATTTCATGATGCTTATATTCTCCATGTTAGGTGAATATAGTCAAGTCATTCTCTGGGGAAATTATAGAGCTTTCCCAGAGAATGTGTGTACGAAGCTTCAGGTCTGATCGAGTGTGTCAGAGTTACTGACATTAAATGTAGGAACATTTTGAACATTAATTAAAGAAAAGTGGCCAATTAAGGCTGTATTACCTGAAATCCTCATTTGAGATTTTTTTGGCAGCAAAGTTTAATGTTTGGACGACTTCATATCTTGCAGAAAAAAGAGAGCTTCAGAGCGTAATGCATTGCCCTAATTAACTAGTAATCATTGTTGCCCTTTGTTATACAAAGATATAAGTGAATAACAATTACATGCTAAAGCCTCAAAAGTACATTTTGTGTTTCCTTTTCCATTTGGAAAGAGCTATTGGTCTTATGCATCTATTCTCTCTCTTACATAAGATCCTCTAAATCAGAAGCCATTTCAAAGCCCAATTTTAAGATGACCTTTCAAAATGTCCTATATATTGAATCGTCTGCACTGAGGAAGCTGAGAAAACCCCACAAGAAGTCCAGATGACCTTAAATGAAAGAATAAAGGTTGTATAGGTGTGTGCATTTCCTATCATAATGTGTCAATGTATTACTCTTTATTGCTACAACTATTTCTTAATTCGGTTTAATAAAATTATGCAGTTTCCATTTAATATGCATGTGGAAATGTCAAATTAGTACTTGAACTAAGGATTAATGAGGCTAGTCAAGCACTTAGGCTCATTAATAATGATTTCACTATGGCGTGGTGGTGCATTTAAATTGTAACAGACTCAAACTTTCTGAGTAGCCAACTGAACTGAGTTATAAAAGGTCAGGGTGATTATTACTTTTATTTACACATCAAAGGTTTAATAGGGGTGAAAAATTAGGGAAACCTCACAAAACAAAAATAGTAGGGAAATAGAAGCTGGCTAAACGAAGGTTTGCCATGATTTTAATATTTATCTTTAACTTCACTCACTTCCTGTAATTTTAGAGGTCTGTCCCTTCCATTACAAAATCTCATCACTGGGACATACTGAAATGTTTCAGAGAAAAAATGCCTTTAACATCCTGTTAATATTTGGTAGCAACACTCATATTCACAGTAATTCTAGTCATAAGAACACACTGATGGAATTTCAAACTATTTAAATGCAAAAGAGATTAACAGTGATTTTATTGATTTATTTGAAGCTCTGTCCCAAGGTCCCTCTCCTGTTCCTCCTCTACACACTCCCACTCAGCAATCTCATCTGCCATCATGGTCTCCACTTTTATGCTGACGATGTCCAGCTCTACATATCCACTAACTCTATCATCTCTCCAACTCACTCCAACCTGACCAACTTCCCAAACTGAAACTAAATCATGGATACAAGCCAACTTTTTCAAACTGAACTGTAACAAATCTGATAGCATTGGCAACTCTATTCTGTCGCCCTCACCTCACATCCATGATGCCTGTAGTCTTCAAGAGAAACTTTTCATTCAAACACTTCCTCCCACTCTTAAAACAACTCCCTTTACCATAACGGATTCAATTCAAACCTCCTCTTTACTTTCAAAACCGTTTTTCTCCACCTCCACACTCCTTCCCACAGCCTGCCAATTTCTTTTGTAGTAGTAGTAATATTAATTGCTAACAAAATGCTGGTATCAAACACAAATCTTAATATGTTAATAAGGGGTATTGCAATACAATCATTTGAAACGGTCTGAAGAATACATTTGGTCTTGTTTGGTTTTGTTCACTAAGTGACTATTGCTAGATCTGTCAAGCTTTCAATTGAATTTGTTTTGCTTAGAAAAATTACAAATTGTATTCCAATTGTGTGAGAAGCTGTTTTCTTTTGTTGCACACAGACTGATTATTAGACATTATGCTAAGTGGTGCTACTGAAAAGAAAACTTCAGACCCCTAAAAGTATACCATTCACCCACAGGTTAAAGAATCAATGCTATAAAACAGTCTACAGATGGATAACAATGGAACAGTCAGCAGTGTAGATGGTGAGTCAAAGCAGCTCAGTGGTGTATATATTGATATGTAGTGGAAGAATGTAGTTCACTCAATACTGTGCTACTGAGCCTATGGTACTTGTTTTTAACAGTGTAGTATATATCAGTATATAAATTATACTCTAAATACATAAATGTAAAAATGGGAGATTAGGCTTTACAAGGTCAAAGCCTTGAAGTAGCTCATTAACACAAGACCACTGATTGTTATCTTTGTGGGATGAATGTCCACTTAAGATGGATGGAATGAGGAATCTCTAAACTGTTCATAATCAGACAAGCTGAGGTCACCTCCACATGAGTGAATCTCTTTTTGCTGAGCAATACTCCTTTCAACATCACAGGCACAGCAGGGGACAGAGGGCAAATTAAAAACTTGCCACAATACAGCATAGAGTGGAACAAGGTTCACCTTGTCTAAAAATTCCCATTGTACCTTGTGATATCACACATTGATTTAATTGCATATGATGGAAGCTGTTTGAAACTCCTGATGCAATCAGACTTTCAAAGACTTTCTTAAGATGAACCTGATGGACGGTCTCTTCTGACTGTGGCGGCTGTATGCTTGACACAGGACAGCACTGCTCTTTATGCCAGTGCTTGACCAATGCTATTTAATAAGCAGTATGACTTGCAACATGCTCAAATGTGAATGTAAAATAACTATTCTCTGTTAAGTATAAGTAATTAAGGACTTTTTTCTGTTGTTATGTAATCTTTTGTCCTTGATTACAGTGCATGTTAGATTTTTTGCAAATTAAGATAGCACACCTGCAGTCTCTACTGCAGAGTACCATTGTTACCAGCACATGTCTCCTTTGCAGATGTAGAGAACTGTATGAATGGGTTTATTAATTCTGTCATGTGGTGCAGAGGGAGGCAGCACACAGTGAGAAGAAACTGAATGAATGTCCTCCCTTTCTAACTCAGCTCACATTGTTTAATGTCATTTGATTTGGAGCCTGTTTGTTTACTGTGTCTGGTGGTCAGTGCACAGTGAATGTCGAACAAGCAGTTCTACTGCAGTAAAAATCAAAAACTGAGAAGTGGTTTGGTGTGGTTATTAAATTTTTGATCAGAGGCCTTAGGTGATTTGCAATTGTTTTTAAGTCCTCCATGACTGAGAGCAAAATTACCTTCCTTAATGTTTTTAAACAACAATCTGAGCCTGTCAGTGATAAAAACAAGTACTTTTAGTGGATGTATTCTGTAGGGCACATTGGTCCCCAAGGATTAAGATTAGTTGACGTTGCGGCCATTGCAGCGCTGTCAAAATATCTTAAAAGGTTTTAAACTGTAACAGCAGCTATGTTTCACTCTGAGCATGTGAGCAATTACTCATACCCCCCAGTGGAGCTGGACTATGTACCATACATTACATATAGAGGAGGTTATTTTGTCATGCTCCCCAGGTTAATGGTTAGAGGAGAGGAGGGTGATGAGGGCATAGAAACATGAAGGAAGCAACAGGGACCATACCAACTAACTGCAGAACTATTCAGAGCCACTCAGTTTCCTTTGTGATGGTCTATCAAACAGTCATCCACGTCCCTGTGGGGTCATCTGAGCCCTGAATGTAACCACCTGATACAGCACTAGTCAGTCCCAGCTGCCTGAAGTCACAGACAGACTTCTCTCCCCGTTACCTGTCTTTCTGAACAGCTGTGACCCTTGCCACAGACAGCCAATTACAGGCGTAGCCTCAGCTGAGAACAATGCTTCTATCCAATAACTGTAAACACAGCTACAGTATGTGAGAGAAGTAGAGCCGACAGGCTGCAATTGTCCTTTTCCATTTCAATGAAACCCCATGCATATGGAGAATCCTGAGAAGTCTTTTCAGAGCAATAGCTGATTTGTCAACATACAGTAATATAAGTGAGATGACATTTTGCATTTTTACTGGAACTTTGAAGCAAAGTAAGAAGGAACTGACTGAAGTTCATTGGTTTCTTTACAACACCAAGGGTCTGCTGTTGCTTATTTTACCAACACAACCCCACTTTAATATAGATTAACACAATTGTAATGGAGCCAGTTGAAAAGTCTGAGCAACCAATCACAGAAAACTGAATAATAATAATAGTATATAATACATTTTAGTTTGATAATGCCCTTTTCAGGTCAGACAGTGCTTACAGTTAGAAACAAAAAGCAGTTTTTTTTAAGAAAATAAGACAAAAGGAGATAAAAGAATAAAAAAAATAAAACATCTAAAAGGGACCAAAAGCTTTGCCTAAAAGAAATGTCCCTTAAGATCCTTTTTAAAAACAGTCAGTGATTGTGGGTGCCCTTCAATGGTGTCAGGGGAGGGCATTCCACAGACGTGGGGCGGCAGCACAAAGGCCTATCTCCCATGGTCCTGAGTCTGGTTCTGGGTATGTGGAGGAGGTTTGAGTGAGTGGAGCGGAGGGAGCGTGTTGTGTTTTGTGGGTTGATAAGGACTGACATCATACCTTAATGTTGTATGCAATACAAAGCACAGTAAAGGCAGTAATATGTCTTTTATTGATTTAATACAAGGAGACCATATCATATTCTGGTCAACTGAAATCACTTAACTAAATTGAAGTGAGAATGCAACACTACTGTAATTCTGGATGGAGCTTACAATTATATTAATTACCAATTCACCTTGATCTGATTTTTTCAATACATGCTTTAGTCTTTAAAATATTACACAATCACAATTTCCCCACAGCCATCAAGCAACACATCCTCATATTTGAGAAGCTGGAACCAAATGTTTGGCATCTTTCCTTGATTAAATTACTTCAAATGATTATTCAAAGAGTTTACAAATTGACCTGATGGTGGCTAGACAGACTGACAGATACTGACAAAGTGAGATTGCTATCCATTGAACCACACTGCTAGCATGGCTTTAAAAAAAGGAAACAATATAAACAGCTCACAAAAAAGGTAATATGTAAAGGAAGGTTAGAATTGCATCATGAGATTCTTTGAAGTACATTTGGTGATGAAAGTCTACACAGTGTTGGCACAGTCACAGACACTGTTCACTTCTGTGAAATAATGTCTGTGTTTCATGTGAATCCCACCTGCAGACAGTCAAGTCACATATTCAAATATAAAATCCCACAAGGAATGGTCTCGGCTCTCTTTTCATCATGACATACAGTACACTTAGTGCTACCATAAATCAAATGACATGCTATTTCCAGGCGATTGCATATTAAGCCTAATCAGACTCATATTCATCCGTCTTTCAACATCACTGACCACTTCCCCTTCTCCAACAAGCAAATTACAAAGTATGTCTGGCTGTTACGTCATCGAAATGATAATTATTAGTGAGCAGGTGGCAGCTTGGTTGGCAGCCTACTTACTATCCTGCTTCAGATATAATACTTTTTCACCATTCACATTTTTTATTTAACCACCTGAGAGCTCTCAAATCAAGCCCTCTGTATCAATTCAATAAGTCACACATATGTGTAAATGTTCATGCCTTTGCGTGAGTCAGTGTTGTGGAGACTATTGAGCACAATTTACTACAGTTTAAGTACCTCCACTCTCACTGTAGTAAACATTTCTGTCCTCACGGCTTTACTGGAGAGGGCACAAACTGAAATCACTGCCCAGACCAGATGACACTAACATATATCTGCCAGGTTGTTTCCTGGAGTTATTTTACTTACAGAAGGGTACACCTCCTGTATATACCCTAGCAAGGTCAGCTGGTAACCTTTACCTAAACCAGTCCAATCCACAATTCTAGTAACAGCTTCCGCCACATGATGCACCTTTCAATGAACTGGACCTCTACTATTCAGGATCTGAATTGTGAGACTTTTCTTTAAATATTCTCAGGCAACTCAATAGCCATTGTTGGCATCTCCTGCCATAGCATATGATGGACATTAACCTGTAAGCAGCCCTTTAGGCTTTATAGGCTATGGTACAGTCTGACTGATTACCCCAGGAGACAAACTGTGGGAGCAAGATTTTAAAACATGGTGATTATGACTTTTCGTGCCTTTAAGGAGAGAGGGCTTACCTGAAGAACTCCATGAAGGAAAAGCCATAACCGTGTTGTTCAGCAATGCCTGCACATACAACGTTGGCTGATGCTCCTATCAATGTTCCATTTCCTAAAAAAAAAAAAAAAATAACATTAAGGGAAACTATTATTATGTCTCATTTTTCATGTCACATGAAGCACATGACAAGTATTCAACATTTATCCACTGTTATAATTATATCAATAATCATCATCAAGGTTCCCCTTTTTTGCATTATTTTCAGCTAGTGTTAAGTTTTCTAGTTTTCTAATCTACTGTGGGCAACATTTTGACAGTCAGGGTGCATATCCATCCTGCTGTTCGATACCGCTCACATCTCAAAAGGTGTCAGTGTGGGGATGGAGCTGGGCGGCGACATCATAGTGCCGATCGATGTGGTCCTGTCACAGTGCAGTTGATTAAACTGAAACACTGTGACAGCTCTCTGACTCTCTCCCCCTTTGTGTCCTTCCCACCCAAACAGAGCCACACTGTGCTGAAGGGCCGGCCACTGGGGTGTGGCAGAGCATGAATAAGGCAAGCTTTGAGGGCCTTGAGCTGCTCTCACAAAAAAGCACAGCCTGACCTCCCCGGGGACTGACACAGCTGTACAAAGTGGCTGTCACCTGGAGCATATGATGTCTCCTTCTGCCAGGGGCCAATGATAAAGATCCACACTCCAAACTATAAAGTCCCTGGTGACTGTAGGGAAGGTGGACCTAACAGTTTAATACACCATTTTATACTTCACTTTACACTTGATTACATGAAGAGGTTAGAAATAGAGGCTTACCCCCAAGGCATGCTCCCATGGCCAAAGCAAAGATGAGAGGTTTTATTGGCAGGTTCACATCTGCATCTTGACTTAAATTAATGAGAACTGGAATCTGTGAGTAGAGATATATTGGAGATTACTGAAAATATAAACTTTCCAAATCATGCAACCAAAATACATTTACATATACACAGGGGCTCCATCTATGATGTGGCACATGATGTGTTTCACATGCAATTACGTGATGAGCCACATTTGAGCCCACCATGATGGCAGAACAGCGTGAGCCCAACCCTAGAGCTTTCATGTGCATCGTAGTACAGAATAGTTCCATTGGTTCCTGCTGTTTTAGCCTCATGTTGCATGACCGAATACTGGGCTACATATTACTTTCACAAAACATACTAACAAAACATGCATACACTGTACATAGTCTTACATCATTTAAAATGTTTCCCCCTGATTAGGAAAGCAACCCTGTATTTACAGGAGCGATAAAAAAGAAAATACTGTATCCTAAAAATAAAATGGTTTGCATTGGTTGGTTGCCATAGAAACATTTGTGCTTAAAGTTCAACATTTTGAAAAGAAAAATGCTTTCTTGTGGTACATCTCTTGTATCTAACTGAGAAAGACTGGAAATAGCTAGATAACAAAAACTACTTAGAGTTTTGTACGGCTTCAGGTTACAAGATATAAGATGTTAATTGATGAGTTTTAGAGTTGCTTGTTAGCTGATATTTCCACCTTTGGAACAGAACTGGGTTAGCTGTTTCCTGCTGTTTCAAGTCTGGCTAAGTGCTATCAATCTTCTCATCTCACTCTCAGAAAGAAAGCGAATAAGCATATTTCTCAAAATGACGAATGTGACAATCTGGACATGCTCTTGCAATACATAAGTGAGTCTGAAAACATGGAAAAACAACCAGAGATACTCCTGGATACACTGGTAGTTTAATTCTAACAAGAAAGATCTCATTCAGTGGGATAACATCTTTTCTTTTTCTCACTGTCATTTTAATTGAGCACACTGCCGCCCCTCTGAAACATTGATCTCTGTACAACCTTTTAAATTTCAGCAAAACAGACAGCTGACAACAAAAGTGGTGAGGAGGCAGTTGGTCTGAAAGTAGCTGCATAATTCATTAGTGTCTGAGAGGATCTTACCTATATTTAAGATAAAAGCTGCATGGAAAGTAAGATACAGTACCAGTACACTCACAATCTAACTTTATGTTAAAATGAATGAGTATATTATTAGCATTTGGATCAATATTGTCTCCTCTGCTCTTCTTACGTGAAACTAATAACACTTGTTGGGCCAGTGATCCTACACTTTGGGTATGAAAATATTGTTGTCTTGGCTGGACTTTATTTCAGTGCTGTCAAAGATATCAGAATTGTTAACAGATAATACAGATAGGAGTAGATAATACTGTAAGTAATAAATTATGCTGAAACCATATAGGCAAGAATGTCTAAGTCCCAATACTATATAAAATTAGTTTATCTTAAATCAAGCTTTATTATATACTGTATACGCAAGCTATACATTACTTTCTGTTTGGAACTATGACAAGAAATATTACCTGAAAGTATCCAACAGTTGTTTAAAATGAGGGAAAGCCAATATGATTTGAGACGAATATGCATCTTTGAGAAACAAAACTAATATATGAAAAATAATTGTACTTCTGTTACAGGGGTGAATTTGTCGTAGTTGTTACTTTTTGTTATAGGTTGTGTGCTATGAAAATGATAAGCTGTAGCTTCAGCCTACAATGTTTGGATCCGTACAAATTTGGGACTAGTTCTTTACTACTTTATGTATGACTATAACTTTTTTCCACTGACTTTGTGTGTGTGATTTCACAAGGATATACTGGAGTGTGAAATTAAAGCATCATGCTGCAGCCTCTTACCATGGTGGCAGTGAAGGGAATGTTGTCAATGAGAGAAGATGCGAGGGCCGAGACCCACATCACCAGAATAATGGCTATAGCCAAGCGCTGGTCCTCTGGCACCGCCTGAGAGGGGAGATAATAAGAGCGACAGATAACTGTTACTTCCATTGCCCCTCAGATGCACAAACAGCCCCCCTCAGCCCATCACTGATTTAAATCAAACACATCAATTATGTTCACTCTTTGACACTGAACCTTTCGTCAGGGAGCAGAGCCTGAAAGGATGAAGCTGTCTGAATGTGTGATATGACCACAGGTGGTGGTGTCTTTGAGTTTTATCTCTGAGCTCTGCTGTACACACACAGGCCAATTCTGTACATGTGACAAGCATGTTGTTGTTTGAACCCTAAGAGAGTTTTCTCTTAGTTATGCAAGGCCAGGATAAAGAGAGCAATTCTCCTCCTTTCACCTGTCTTCTACTTGTATCAACAGAGAAAGGCCTTGCAATTCTCTCACAGCATGTTGTCCATTGTTTGGTAGGCTGAGCAGGTCAGAAACCATGAACAGCACGCCACCTGTCATGTGTGATTATTAGACTTATAGAGGCCCACAGTCTAAACACAAGCTGACATACCTATTACTGGTGCAATTCTCAGCTAAGAGACACCTCACTTGCATGAAGCACACAGGCTAGAATATGGGTGAACATTACCTCAGACCCTTTTGACTGCTGACAGGAATCAGATGTAAACAAAATAATTGAATTCAGAGCTGTGCAGAACATAAGGATCAATATGCATGAAATGCAATATCATGTCACCTGTGCCCAATTATCAATTATGCCATTTGCACAGAGCCCTGAGAGATGACTGTTAAGAATCAAAGGAAAAACTCACTTTTATAAGCAGTGCTGTCTGTTCTCCAATATAGTCGATAAGCTGCAGCTGGGCTAAAGCCTGGAAAAATGAAGAGGAGAAGATTAATATTGGGAAAAAAATCTGAGGAGAATTAGTTATAGGTGGGATTAAACCAAGAGAAGAAAAGCAATTTGGTTTATATTAAACGGTCAATAAGTAGACAGGGACAAATCTATTCTTGTTATCGTTATTGACACCTTATGGGGACTGGTTTCTGACACTGTACAATGTTAAATGCGTTCAGCACATAGTTTTGCAGGGCTCACGTCTATATCAAAGACTCACAGGAGGGAGACAACAAAGCAGTTACTGTGCTGACATTACATTTTCATTTCATCCTTTAACAAGGAGGCTCATGGGTACTACCCAGTGTACTGTTAATAGATCGAAGCACTGATCCTGTTTACCTCCAGTATCTTGTAAAGATGCTTGTCAGAGGGGAGCCCACCTAAACCTACATTTATCCCAGTTCTGGCTCACTTTTTATTTGTTATAATTACCTCATGCTCAAATTGAGGCTCTAAGCAAAAGTTGTTGTTTGGCATCAGTTTTTGGTTTCCACTACGTTGTATGAGCTCCAAAATCTATTGAAAAATTATAAATGGGCTCTAAGTCAATGCCAAAAATACAGCAGAGTCCGTTAAATACCTCCATCAAAACGAAGAGGCCAGCAAAGAACAGTAGTGTGGCCCACTCCACCCGGTGCAAGATGATCTCGAAATCCTGGATGTCAGCCAGAACCAAAAGCCACAGCGCACCCAGAATAGCGATCCAACCTGGAAGAGAGAACAAGAAACACCACCTGACATCTCTCTTTATAGCCAGAAAACACTCTCACATACATAAAATGTATATTTCATGGTCTTATCCAGTAGACATTGAGCACAATGTGGCAGATTTATAAAAAGAGGACATATCACACACAACACTTGGGGATACTTAGGAGACTTTTTAAACTATTAAAAAGTGTTCATTAATTTAATGAAATGGAGTTCCATCTGCTCTCTGTTCACTTTGTCTTTAATCCCAACAGCAACCTTTATAAATGTTACAGATTCTACTGCGACATTTTTACATCTAAGTCTTCATTCAAGTCTTTTTGTTATCCTTGCTGCTTCCTATAAATCAATGATAAAGAAATATCTGAAACAAATGTATGCGTGGAAATTGACATAACAAACGTGAGGATTCAATCTGAGTTTCAATGCATGTCCTCACTATAATCTATTAAACAGGTCATACCATGAAGTGTTGGAAACAATGAATAAAGCATTTGCTTTGTCTAGGTGGGTCTGATGAAGCATTCATTATCATTTCAATGCATTCTAGTCTAGAGGACAAAAGTTGGCACCAGCCAGTGTTTTTGAAAGAGGGAAGAGTGTGCATCCACTTGGAGAAAATTTGATTAAACAGGTGAGCACCAGTAATTGCCTTGGCCGAGGTCTTTGGGGAAATAATTTCACAACTGATGAGAATTAGTGAAGAAAGAAGAGCAACGGAAGGACACAAAAAAGAGAGTGACAGCAGGAAGATAGACTGAGGAGAGACTGATAAAAATATCAAGACTGAAAGAGAGACTCAATGTTTGTGCAGCTCCACAGCATGTTTACATGTTCAAAACCTGCTGAGGCGTTCTCGGCCAGAGCCAAAGCAGGAGGTGGCTGGAAATGTTTTTTGACAGGCAATTTGGTTCTCGGGTAGTAACTTAGATTATAATACAGGCAAACTTTTAGGGAAAATGTGGGCCAAAGTTTGCTGAAAATAGCCAGTAAGTTGTACTGGCTCATGCTTGCCTGATTATTGTACACATCCTGCAGATACAGAGCCACAGTAGCATTCATTTGAAGAACACTCTCCTTTTAGCTCCGTTTTGGTCTCCATAAACTCCTGTTAAACTAGCTGCTAAATGCTCCACTTTCACCAGCAAGTCTCTTACTTTGTCAGTCTGCTGTTTGGTGCTGGAAATAATGCTGATGAGAGCCAAGAACCAAAACAGCCAAACTAAGGGCTGTAAAACCAAAACAATGAGTAGAAAAAGATCAAAAGCAGAGTTGGTTTCATCAAAATCCTAGCAATCCCCTTTACATGCAAGTACCCATATAAAGTAATTTTGATAAAAATATAAGAACATTGATAATAGGAAGGTGCTGCAACAAAGAGAAGGTCAGAAGGATTAGAAAACACTACTTCTACTACCACACTCTCCCCGTGAACAGTTGATCTTCATTAGAGGGTAAGTATGACATTTCTGTCTTACATAGATGACGTCTACTGAAGGTCTTTGTGGATACAATGTCACATTTTCCTTCCTATATATAAGGCCAACTCTTTGCTAATATATTCATTACGGAGTTCAGTTACCTCACTGTGCTTTAGTGTGACAATGAATTAGATTATTTCATCAAAAATAATTCAATAATGAATAATAAGTAGTAGCTGTATCTCGCAGGCTGCAAAACAAGTGAGTCAGTATAAGTGGCCCAATAACCACTGTCAACAAAAATGACACTTTTGACTTTCTCACTACTTGATATTTCCTCAGCCTGCATCCAGGAGCAAGCAGCAGGTAACAAACCTAAAGAGCTCTCCAATTAAAAAGAGCTTTTTGGCAAGTCTGAGCAGTTTATGACATACTCATGTATCATACCCAATACAACAGTGTCTGAGACAGGAAATGTGCTGTGAAAAATGTCTCATCGCAGTTTTCCATAAGTTACACAGAACAAAGTAAGTGAACACAAGGCCAAAGCCAAAAGATAAAGAGATTTGTGCTCCAGCTCAAGTATCTATTACACTCGTAAGCATATGGTTAGATAAGGTATCCTTTTGCCTTGCCACAGACTAAAGATTCAAAGCAATTTAAATGTTGGAAGTTAACCAAAGTAAGAATCTATTGAAAGACCAATCTGTGAAATATTAAGTAACATCTCTGAAACTCTACAACTTTAAGGAGTTTCAGAAATCAATGTTCAATTATTTATTTTCTATATTTCACACTTTGTATGTGTTTTTAGCACTTTTCAATGACTTTCACTGCTACACTCTCCTGATTTCTCCATAGAAATCAATAATGTCTCATCCAAACCACAGTTGTAACTCACAAAACCACAGACACATTAGAGGGATCAAATGACCAGGCAATAATCAGACTGAAATTAAATATTACCGTGTGAAGTTAATGAAATTTTAATGAGGCTCAATTTTTAAAACATGTGTGACTGAATAGACTGCTGCAGTACTCAACCCTGCCTGTGACCTGCATGCATTAATGAGAGCTGTGTTTGGACAGGCACCTATCCCTCCACAGGGACAGAAAACACGCTGCTGTGGGGTCATTCCCATTTAATAAATGTCACAGTGAGGTAACCTGAGTAGTGCCTGTAATTAACTGAGTATGTTTGGTGACTGAGTGGCCTCAGCAGCGAGGGGAGAGATGACAGGGTGTGTATGAAGACAGTCATCTTCATTTAGGGACAGTGTTAGCATTAATGAGATGCTGTTAAGGTCATCTGCCGAGCACACATCAGAGACATCACAGTCAGAAGCGTCAGACAGACAGATATAACCCTCAACCTAACCCACAGGTGCAGATCTACTAACATGCTCAAATTATGCAAGTAGGCAGATTTAGAGCCTTGCTTTTGTCCATGCAGTGCAAAGAAGTCATGTTTACGTCAGCTGATTGGTGACAACCAATCATATTCATAACCAGACAGTGATACCAGATATATTATATTATATGCACATCCAGTAGATACAAAGCAACATTAGCATCCATTGGAAGTTGTGTTTCTGGCCACCTGATGAATCTAAGTCTAATATTCTTTCTCATTTTAGCTTCGTTTTTGGTCTCTCCACCAATAAAGAAACATTTAGGTCTTTTGCCATTTTTAGAGCTTTTTTAATTGAAATAAAGCTAAAACTTATGAGTGAACCAGAGATTGAGCCTAAACAGTAAAATTGCGGACCAGAAAATCAAAACAATAAGCTGAAAGACGCTAAAATGCTCTACAAGGTTAAGTGATAATTTTCTCTGCAACATCTTTCACATTACACATTGTCATTTAATCCATTGTCATTATAAAAACATTAATTATGGCAACTTTAAGGGAATGCAATGATGTGTGAATCTGACAGTCACTTTAAGGGCTTTGTTAGCACCTGGATGTCACAGCCTTATGAAGTCACTATATGATGGTTTTACACAGCTTTAGATTTTTCCTGATTCTTCTCTATGATTTTACAACTCAACTGCCTATCTTTGCATAGAAACCCCTAAAAAAGATACTGAATACAATATGTAACTATTGTATTGTAAGTATATATTAGAGTAGTAGTCGTAGATTTACCGAAATGTTGTTCATGAACACAGATTTGAAATTGCACCACATGAATAAATGTAATGTGATGGGGTCTAAATGCAGCTCAGTATCCATGTAATTTGTTGGATGTATTTGCTAGTCAGCCCATTGTTTGGGCTCATTTAAAATGCAAGGACAGAGGAAGCTGTGTTTCATAATTACATGACAGAACTTATAACCACCCAGTGGGGCCTGTAAAAACAGCGCAATAATGAGATACTGCTGCGCTTACCGAGATCAAGATGAATGCTGGGAACGAAGGAGTTGACAAAGAACATGAAGATCACCACACCAAGGACGGACACACACTTAACCAAGAGAACCTTGTCAGTGATTCTGTGCTGTGGAGGAGAAAAATATAATCTTTTATTATACGACTGACAGCATTTGTCTTAAGAAAAGTTTCAAAGACTAGTCCAACTTCATTATTGAGATAACATCAATGCACCGCAGACACAGTGGGTTAGGAATCGGTCTGAGTAAGTATGAGAGCCTACCTTCTTCTGCAATTCTTGAATATTTTGCTCCCAGTTCTTATCCTCTTGAGAAATTTGTCTGCCAGACAAAACGACATGTGAGTGTTGATAAACAGAAATACATACATTTAATTATAGACGTATCACTCTCTTAAGAGTTTTAAACCATTTGTTAAATCATGGAAATGGTGCCTCTGATAGCTGTTTGTCAATACATACTGAATGTTGTGGTGTTTTAAGATATTTGCTGAGTGATGTGTAAGGCACTCCCAATGCTATGAAAATCTTTGCTACAAATGTTATGCCTGGAAACAAACATTTTGGGCAAGGGGACAAAAAAAGAAATTATTCTTGGACTTCCTTGTGTTTTTTCCTTCCTTGAAGTGCTATGTTGTGTTTTAAATAAACTAAAATAAATTCAACTACATTTGCATAAATGGGCATACATTAGATGTCTCATTCCAAAAGTCATCAACAATATGATGGTAAATACTGACTTCTTTGTCTTATTCACAAAACATAAACCAATTTTGTCTTTATCATGTGATTTTCAAAATATATTTTATATGTTATTATAGATATATTTATATGTTTTCAGTTTTAACCTTTGGAAGGTTTTCATCATCTTGCGGAGCAGACTTTCCAGGTTGAGGACTTTTTGCATCAGGAGGCATTTCACAGCTGTCTCCTCTCGGCTGGCAGGGTTAATGCGCTGAGCCGTCTGCCTCCAAACCAGGATCTCATGCTTGAGTTCTGAAGGAACAGGACAAAGAAGAGAAAGCCAATTGTTTAGTGCATGTTAAACACATAGACTCACAGTCATTACAGTGGTGAAGCTTAGTAGCAGCATGCAGCATGTTGGGGGATTTGGTTGGAAACAGCTCCTACAGCTGTGGCTGACTGAGAGGATATAAAGATGTTTTCGGTCAATATGCTGTTAGCCCCCATAGAGGGACTAATGCAGCCAGGCTATGGGCACATTGACCAGCTCAGGAACAGCCAATGTTGAAGCAGAGATACAGCCTTAGGAAGCTGGACGCCTGTGTAGATATCAGTAGGTGCCATCCTTTTTCAGGAAGGTTGCCTAGGTGACCTTAATAGGATCTAACTGACGCAGGAAAAAAACATTCCTGTAAGCAAATCTGCACAATTACCAGTCGTGGCAGGGGCTTTTGAGCTGGTTAAGCTGCATGCTCTCCTAGGTAGACCAGGTTGGCAGGAGAAGCGGAAACTCCACAGGGTGGGATTTACAGATGGGCTATCAGGCCCGCATTGACCGGCTGCGCAGTGATCGGCAGCAGCTTCCTTCTATCTGCCTGGGGCTCAGTGTGACAATACAGCTCCTAACAGTCGGTTTTCCTCACTCCTTAAATGGGAGCGGTGTGGCGACGACCAGGGAGTTTGGTGGTCTCTGTTTTAATGATCCCCTGCTGAGGTTCTCTCAGAGGGGGGACACTGTAGGATTGTGGGTAAACGCCGATAAGAGTTGACAATTTCGCACAAATATCTTTGTTTTATTAGTTTGGCCAGTATCTACATCCCTGGGGTGTCATATGCAAAGATTTACAGTAGCAGCTAATAGATTCTAGGATAGAGGACACCGTTCAAAACTAAACTCGCTGTGTGGTTTTTATTATTACTAAATGATCTTACTCGACCTCTGGACAATCTAAAGTCTTGAGGGATGGCCAAATAATTGTTTCTTCTATTAACGGATAATTAACTGTGCTGTACCAGATTATCAGAATATTTTATACAATAGCACAAGCAGATAAAAAGATTGGAACTAGGACGGGAGCCCTGTGCTGCTCTCAGGCTGCTCTCTGGATAAGTAAAGCCATTTTTACTGCCAACTTGTCAAAGCTAACAGCTGAACATCCAAGTAAAGGTGTGTTTCTGAGATGGGTGAGTCATCAGACTCATGAGGGAGCCAAGCAGCTGAAAGAGGCAAAAGGTGAACGTGTTCCACTCCAGTAAATGATGTTGAACTTATAGCCTATCACCTCAGTACTTTAATTAAACTAATTCTTAACCACATTTATTGAGACCAAAATGGGGCTTTAAATCCTAAAACTATCAATAAACCGAGTTACAAACATGTTATCTGTATCTCAGGGCCACAGAGATATCTCCCCTTTTATTAACTAGGACGCCATAATTCAGAGATATTTTATAAGACATGACAGGGTCATCTGATGAGGACAATGTGAATGCAATACTGTGGAAATCACCTGAGGTGAGTGGTGGGGCGGGGAAGTGGAGGGATTGGGTGGGTTCTTTAATACAGGGGGCACTATACATCGTGTGGGAGTTAGAGGGCTGAGGCCGAGTTAATTAAGTTTCTAGGAGGTCGCTGCATCGCCTGAGAATCGTGAGTAGTGAGTAGCTGTAGCATGGTGGTAGTATGTGGACTAATGTTCTTAATTAATACGCTTCATAATATTAATCAATGCATAAGTGATTTTGGCTTGTGCCACATGCAGAGCAATTCTATAATTTACATTCCTGCCTTGATAACTCCCCTGCCCAGCCTCACTATGTATCACTTCCAAAAAATCATTGCCTATATGGAAAATAATTATTAAAATATCTTAACTCACCAACTATTTCAATGGACTCTTTGTTGTAGAGTTTTTTGTTCCAGTAGAGCATCCGCAGGAAAGGGAATGAGGTGAAAAGGACAAGGCATATTCCAAGGAACATGTAGCCTGTGAAACTGGCAAAATCAATCCCCTGTAAGACAATGAATAATAATGTGTGAGACAACACAGTCTCTTAAGATAAAGCTCTAAGATTTCATTCAAATATAAATAAGCATTAGTGCTGTGGTTTTCTGAGAAAGCAGTCATTGTTTTTTGAGAAAGCATCAGAAAGAAAAAGTACATGAGCAGATGCAGGTGCAGGTGTTACTATTAATCTGTGGTACATCACTATAATAAAGTCATTCAAATAAACTATATTATCACTATAATAAAGTCATTCAAATAAAACAGTTTTGTGTGTTTGCGGTATACAGTGGCATTAGGAAATACAAGTTTATATATGAGCAGACAGAAAATTAGTTGTTGTACACAAAAGGATGAATATAAATGAAACGTTACAGAATTTAACCACCATGGTCCATCATGACCACTGAGCTCTACTGGCATGAAGCACATCTTACTTCCTGCCTGAGTACGAAACAGCAGCCTTGTCCTCAAAGAGGTTGTCCTCAAAATTGAGAGCTAATCTTTCCCAAAGAACACCATTTTATCAGATGCATCCATGGAAATGTCTCCTTGTATATATCATATATATATAATATACCATTTGTTTGGTGAGGGATTTATACTGTCTTTATTCCTTGCACAGTATGAAGAATGGTGATAAAACTGGTTAATAGTGACCTCTACAGGATTTGAAATTTCAAGTTGCAAAAAGCCTAAGATAAGGGAGGAGAGGAGGGGTGACACAATGAAACATGCAGCAGGACAAACCAGAGATAAATATATTCTTACACACCACTTTAAATATATCAAGTATCCAATCAAGTTTGAGTATGAATGTTGTGGCAGGTGTGCAATAGCCCTTAAATGTCTCATCAATTGTGTAATGGATTCAATTCAAAGATTCCTTTTCTCTCCCACAATATCATTTTATCACGATGCCCCCAATACAACTCTGACTACTCCTTTATTCATGGGTCCAAAGAGACTTGCTCAGTCAGTCTGCTGTGACCCTCAGGGCAGCCTCATGGGTTGAGGGTAGCTGCTCATGCGAGCCTGTTATAAATGAAAACTCTTCCTAGAAACTAAAAACCAAAGACTTGGAAAAACTTGTATCTGTGTCTCAGTCCAACACATCTCTGCAACATATTTCCAGTCGTTACTAATTGTTCAGTAGCAAGACACAAGAGAGCAAATCACTAGAATGTAATGTTCTGTCTGTGTGTTTGCTGCTGTAATGTATCTCTGTTTACAGCCGTAAACTGTGAGCTGGTGTCCGTATTTAAAAGCCAGAGTCTCTCTCTGACTGGTTGGAGGAGATCCATTTGGCAAGAAGGGTCACCAGTGTCCCTCGATAAAATTAGACCAAGAGGTAGTTGGAGATTTTGTATGCACCATGCTACCTTGCTCTGTAACAAATCAAATACAAGGACACTCTGATGAGTGGCAGAATCACCTAAACACACACTTCACAGCTGTGCCATTCTTTCTATCTCTGGATTTCTCCCGAAAATCCCCTCGACACAAACAAGCAAGCATGCAAACAAACAAACAGGCAGGCAAACCATGCATGCACACACAAGCTGTCCTTATCAGAGGCCAGACATGACTGAATGAGTGCACTGCCGCTGTGTCCCTGCGGTTCTGTCATCTGTGGAACCGAGCCAAGACAAACCGGACAGCGGGCCGTGGGAGCCTGGCGTGGTAGGAGCTACTGTATACTGAAGGAGACCACATACGGCTGCACCCACAAAGGCTAAAATGTCACGCGCAGTGAACAGATGCCACATCAAGCAGCTGGGGAAATGTCATGTCTTCTAGTGATGTAGCATTACGCCCTCTGAGTATAAGAGGAGTGAAGGTTATGAGAAGAGCCTACAAGTCATTGCCCTTTTCAGACAGTGGCGGGCTCTGATTAACTCAGTAAAATGCTCTCACTGCTGTTTACTGACATCATTTTGTCAAAATCTGTACAATAGAGGACAACCTGTTTTCCAAAATATGTACAGTGAAGTAATATTCATTGTAGCCCCAATGTCAACATCAATTAGAAAAACAAATATTTAAACACAGGTAGGCTGTGCTTCAGCAATGTGACTTGATGGCGTGAACAGGGATTTTGTCCCCAATCGGTATGATTGCACATTGACCACTTTTTTGCAGTGTCTAAAATTTTTTTTGAAAAAACAAAATATATATAAACACAAAAATGTTATAAACACCAATCAATTATATTTCAATGGGCCACCAAAATACATTCTATACATACAGATGACAGTTAAAAGGAAAAACCAACACAAACCTTCTAGTCTCTCAAACACTCCTTTCTCTCAGAGATGTTTAATTGATTCATATAAATCATATAATTCATTCATTCATTCATTCATTCATTCATTCATTCATTCATTCATTCTCATCAGACCCTTCAATGACCCCTTGTGTCCTGTACGAAAGCATCTGCTTCTCTACTTATTCATTCAGATTTTTCCTTCAATTTTTCATCTGTCAGTATTTGGTGGTACAAATACATAGACTATCACAAAGGTCTCAGCCAAGTGTGATATACGTCATCCAGCACAGAAAAAGAGCTGGGCGTTCAGTTACATGGTTTCACATATTATTGCATCAGGAGTGACACTGTCTCCTCCACAAGTTTAATCACACACTAATCCTAAAGAAAGGGTCTTCAGCATGACACTTACAGAAGACTAAAGCTACACCAACAGAGGCTGGAGCTGTGGAACAGGTGAGTATGCTGCAGGAAAGGAAGCTCTAGGAAGGTCCTTCTCCTCACTGGCATACACAGAGATAATTGAATGTGCTAGAAGAGTGGACTCTTAGAGCAGCGGTGTTGCTTATAACGACTTTATGAACTGTAGTAACATTTATGGTAAAAAAAGGAGATACAAATCTTATAAATGTAAAGCAACATTGGGCAGGTGTTACAGTTTCTTTCTCCACTCTTTTGACATTTTTAATTCCTGTGATTTATGACAGCGGCAGCAAAAATATGAATTGGTTTCACTGCCACTACATCTCCATTCATCACCTGCACATCAACGTAAGGGTCTCGACTCACTATTGTATATACATAGAGAGATTAGGCTGAACAGAGAATACTATATAAAATTCTAGCAAGTGTCTGTATATACACTTTGATTTTGTATGCACTGTAAAGTCTATATCAGGTCATGAATGTCAGAGCTTATATGAGGAATGTAAAGGCTTTAGAGAAACGGTCTGCAATAACTTGACTTCCAGTAAACTAAACTTTAATGGATAAAGTAGGTAACTGACTACCCAACACACATATTTCTTGTTTCTTTTATTTCATTTGTTGTATAAAGTTTCTTTGAGTATCTTTAAAAGTGCTATATTTCTTTAATTATTTGTTCTAAGTTTAGACTGTTAAGTTATGCAAGACCTGTTGCTACTCCTTGTTTACAAAAACTGATGAGTTGGTTTTGTTTGCTTGTATGTTAAAGCTACATTGAGTATTTTTTGACCACTACAGGGCAAACTACTTACAGCAACAGAACTTTGATATTTTATAGGTTTATCTCATTCTTATGACTAACATGTTAGCATACAACTGCCACCTGTCCAATGTAAATGTAGACTAAGAAAACTTTTTAGTATAAATAAAATGTATTATTATTATTTATTATTAAACAATGAGCTAAGAGCGGCTAAAAACTGTACAAAACTGCAGAGTTGGATGTTGAATTTTAGTGGGATTTGCAGCATCAGCATCCCTTTCACATTACAGGGAGTCATTTGATTTAATGTTAATATCAAAATACTCGATGGAGCTTCTTTAAAGTGGTGCTCAAATCCCTGTCTGTTCAGCAGAGTTGTTTGGAATAATAACTGTCAGCGCTGTTTCTCAATGTGCATTTATTACTGCCATTGCAATGATGCTCCTTTCATAATTACCCAAACAACTTGTCATAACACAAGATTTTCAAAGCAGTTAGCAGCACTCTATAGATTGACAGGTAAAGTGCAAACTATGCTGCCAAAGCTGTTTATCACATACATACATATACGTACATATACATATATATACATATATATATATATGTATATATATATATATATTTACACAGGGTGTGTGTGTTTCCAGTCTGTGGCGGTGATATATTGGATTACTTTTAAGTACAAAATCTTTCACATGCAAACACAATAATTTCATCAATGCAAACACAATAACTTATGAGGAAAAGTGTCTTTTTCATCATGGCAGTGACTTTAGTGACTTTTTCAGAAGTCACTCAAATGTAATTAAGCTATGCAAGCTAAGTCCATGAACCAAACTAATATTGCTGCATCAATTAAGAAACGATCACCCCCTAGAATAGGTTAATTATTGAGAAAAAAAGATAAATAAAGGGTGAGAAGTGACGTGAATCCATTTCAGGTGAAGTGTTCCTTCACCTGTCAGTACTGTACCATCTGTGCAGCTCAAACAGCAATTTCCTCTTCATCTTATTATTATTATTCTCTGTTTCACACAAGTCATGAGGAGCATTATGTTTGCTTTACTAAGCGTCTGGTTCATGTGTCAGATTACACCGAGCTGATCTGTTACACGAGTATATTAGTGCAAGTTTAGGCAGAGAGCTGTGAAAGTGCCTACTTCTTTGCGCAGGTCCTGATTTGATACTATAATCACATTGGGTGGATCTCCGACAGCTGTGGCAGCCCCTCCAATGTTGGTGAAGATTACTTCTGCAATCAGGACATGTCTGGGGTCTAGATTAAGCACCTCACACAACCTGCAAAATCAGATAAGAGACAGAAAAGCCCTTTAGCCACGATTAGATTGGGACGGGTGGGGAGAAATAAATACAGGAATATAAAAAAGGATATTGGAAGACAAAAAGCATTGGTCCTTTAACATCAAGGCAGTACAGGATATCCACCCAGTTGGCTGGGTAGCAAATTAGAGCACAGTTTTTCAGATCTGTGTTATGTTCATTGGGTGTTTAATTAAAGTCAAATATCATCTATATTCTGATCTTCTGGCAGCGATTTTGAGCACTTAATAATGGTTTACTGTATAGATTCAATTCAGGGGAAGGAAGTAGAGACACTAACAATGAGGAAGAGACAGAGCTGGGCGGCACACATACAGCTGATTTGTAAGACACTGCACTAAAGTAAATTGCAGCTGCTGTGTAGTAGTTCTGTTTTTAGAAATGTAATGTGTGTTTCAGCTTTTTTCAAAGGGGAGGTTGTGATCTATCGACTGATGTGACTAAAGAAAATACTGCAGGGTTACTGAATACAAATCACTGATTAAATACACAAAGAACTTTAAGTTAATATAAGACTATTTGTTGTTATAGATAATAATGTCTTTATTCAGTTATTAAAATGTACTGTATCTGATGAGAAATGTGATTGGATAACTGATTAGGTAAATAAGGTCAATAATGAATAATAATCAGGTTTCCGATAAATGTGAAGCTACAGACACCAGTCGCTCAGCTTACCACAAAGGCTGGAAACAGCGAGTCTAGTTCTGTCTGGCGCTAACAAAGTCCACCTAGTAGCACCTCCATCTATTTATCTATAACACACCACATAGTTGTGGCGTCCAAAAACATGTCGATTCATTCATCTTCATCATCATAGTCTGCAAAATGTCCCCTAGCAGTGAATGTGAAGGAACAGTTGTGTGTCTGTATGTGGCGACCTGTCTAAGGCGTACTCTGTCTCTCACCTAGTGTCAGTCGGGATGAGCAGGTATAGATAATGGATAGAAATGTCTAATGGCTATACTGTACCTTATGGTGACAGGGGTGAAGAGCATCATAGTGGTCACATTGTCCAGAAAAGCAGAGAGAATGGCAGCGATGAGACAGAGGATGATGATCATTGGCCACACTCTTCCTCTGGATAATTGGTAAGCCTGCAGAGAGAAGCAACATGACAATGAGTCAGTGATAATGGTACATAGAAACCTATTAAGTGGATGTCATTCACAGTATGAGTGCAGGATAGATTTAAAATCTGTGTTGTCTGTGTTGAGTGAGGACAAGTTCTGACATTTCTGAGATGTGTCTCAGAGCATCAAGGATGTGACAGTGAAACATCATCCATTAGTAGCAATGGTAGTAGCATTAAATGACATAACAGACATAACTCAGATTCCAAAAATAGCCTTAAAATAACGCAGATGAACGCAGACTCACAGTTTAATACTAATATACCAGCCTTAACCTTGTGGGAGTGGCTCAGGATGGCCACTTTTTGTACGTAATAGTTCGATGTGTCAGAGCTGCTAAGTTGTTCTCAGAAGGTATTTTAATTTGGAGAGCCTGGCCTTGTCCAACTCACACTTAAAATTCATGAAGCTACATGATCCCTCTGTTCTCCAGGTCTGAGTGCTACTGTACCTGAAGGACAAAGGCCCTGCCTCACCATCTACGCAGAATATTCAAGATTAAAACTGAGCATCCCAGAGCTGTTTACCTGATGGGAGGAACCCTTGACCTTGTACAGAGAGGATGAAGCTCTTATCTTCTACTGTAAAGTAATAGACTAATGTGAGAATGCGTATTCCTGTAATATTTGTACGATATGTGTAAATAAAAATAGATTTCTTTTTAAGCAAAATTAACTTCACAGTCCTGAAATGTATAAACATACAACTATAAGTTAAGAAATAAACAATTTACAGACGATATGTATCAGTTCATACTTCAAAAGAGCACTTGCAGTAAAAGAACATGATTTCTTCTTCTCTAAACAATATAATAAATATTAAACAGAATTGGCTCATTACAATAGAATAGACAGTACCGAGCTCATTTTCTGAACTTTCCCACAAAACAAGACAAATGTCATTCTTTTCAGTCTATTATAGTACTCTACCTTTGAGTCAGGATGTAAAGATAGGTCATCTTACACAACTTACAAAGGTCTTCCCAAATCATGGTCATGTTGGATAAGTTCTCATGTATCAGTGCTAATTTCAGAAATAGCTCAAAGCATGACGCCTTCGAGACAACTCTAAAATACCAGTGGGCAGTTATTTTCATAGACCAGTCAGCATCCCTCATGGTCAAAGGTAAACATGCACATGGTATATTACTAAAGGCTATAAAATGTCAGACTTTCTCGACTGATTGTACTGATTTTGTTATTTTCTGTGTCAGTACTGGGATCCATAATTATTATTATCACTCACCTTCACAGCACAATAATCAAAGAAGCCAGTGTCTGAAAAAATAGCCACCAGAACCATCTGGAAGAAACAAGACACATTTCTTTAAAAACAAAATCCAACCATTTTCCATTGTGTAACAAGATTATATGTCGCCCTGATATTTCAAAAATAGTTACCACAAACAACAAGATGGTGGTGACTAAGACAGATACCTGCACGGGATATTGTTTTACTTTATTATTATACCCATTACAGTATGACAGCTAAATGAGTGTAAAGACCAAAAACACAGCCCACAGAAATGTGTTTTTGAAGGAGACCATGAATGATATAAACCTGAATTTATATTATACATAAACACTTACACATAATTGCTTTGTATAAAGTGTATTGTAGCACATATAAATGCATGTATCTTGGAAATGTATTGCCTTTGGAATATTTTCAGACACTTCCCCTGCTGTGGCAGCTGTTCACATTGGAAGTTACCATAGCTACCATCTGTGGTCATGCATCTATATGAAATTTAGATACCACTGATCTGGCAGAATTATCTTTTATGTGAATAATAAATGTTGAATAATTTGTTATAGATGTGATTTGTTATAAAGTTACAATGTGCCTGAAAAGAATGATTTAAATAGAAGTCCTTCTGTTTTCAGCACTCATGTAACACTGAATTTGTATACTGAACTAGACAGGAAGTGTTTGTTTCCATGGAGACAAGATTTTATATTGTCAATTGCACTTGCCTCCACAGAATCAGATAGAAAGTGAAGTACTAAATATTTTTTTCTGTGTAAAATCTTACAAACCACACTGTCTTAAAAGTAGATTTGCTGAGTAAATTAACATTTTAATAACATCTTTGACTAACCATGCCAAACAGAAGAGCCAGCGTCTCATAATCGATCCACTCCACCACAGTAACCAGACTGGGCCGCTGTGGCAGAGACAGAGAAAATAATTAGATTTCACAGGGATTTACTAGCAATTATCAGATCTGTGAACAAAAAGTAAATTAGTGTCAAATACATTAATCCCTAGTTGAGATTAGGCAAATTGTTATTTTCAGTACAGCACTAAACTTTCTGGTAACAGATATATTTGTTAAACTCCTCCCTGACCCAGATCCTGCCTTTGGATGCTATCGGTCAGACGACACTTTGACTTTCTGTAGCAGGAAAAGCCCAGGTGGAACTCCTAACACTAACGATGTCTCTGTTCCACCAAATTGTCCCAGTGAGCCGCACAGGCTCGATACCTTTGAATTGGAACCTGTCCGACTAATTAATGATACTAATTACACCTGTGCTTTCCCTGTATAACTTGGAACTTTGAAAACTAAAGTTGTGATAATTTACTGAGCTTTGGATTCTAAGAACTGATAAAAACATACATTAAGCAACTTTCTTTTCTAGAAATACTTTGTTTGTAAGATTAGGAGCGCTGTTAAAGAGACAATTTTCAATACAAAGAATTATCAGCTTTTTTTTTACAGACGTCCATTTTCTAATGCACCTCAAACTATAAATTCTTCTAATACCAAAACTGAAGTTTAACTGGCAGCCATTTTGAATCCCTTGACTAGGAAGAAGTAGGCTAGTAGCCCAGTTCTGTTCAACATGCACATCATGTAATATACTGTAATCCTACACTGCTGACTGAAAAGGATGTATTAGAAACAAATGAGTTTGCACGTGAAGGGCCAATACAACTAGCCACCGAATCAGCTCAGGTAGCTAGCGAACTTACAGCGTTCAAGCTAGCAAACTAACTTTCTCACTAATGTCAAGCTGTTGTTATTGTTGCCAGCACATATTTTGACAAACATATCGTGTTTGGGTAAACTAAGTAGTTCTAGGCATCACTCCATTATTTACAGCTCAATAAAAGACTTACATCACCAATGACAGCCAGAGCAGCTAAGGCTGCCAAAGATCCCAGCATGGCCGCCAGCGTCCGGTGCACAATCTGAAAATTCACCAGAAACGCTTAATTTAACGAATTGAAATATTGGTATTTAAACATCAACATTTATAGATATAACAATCTCTCTCTCTCTCTCTCTCTCTCTCTCATTATCATTCATTTAACAAACCAAAATACAAAGAACAATCCAACATAAACAGGAACATAATGCACATTAATGTCATCAAATATTCTACATTTACATCTATTACAAATGTGATATTGTCTACTGTTAGGTCAAATGCTCTAATTACCTTTGGTTAAGTCACATGAGTGGAATGACTTTATAGCTTTTCTATTAATTCAGTCATTCATTTATTCATATATCTTTCTCATTGTGCCAGAGTTTTACATTTACTTTTTTGTATCTGTCATTAAAAAAGCCAGATGTCGTATAGTTTATTAAACTGTAATTGAATGAAATTTAAAAATAGTTGAATAGAAATAGAAAAAATAGTATTTAAAAATGAATGATTTAAATAACAGTAGGATTCAAAAATCTTGTCGAGACTTCCATTAGGATGAAACACTGCTGTTCTTGATGCTGCAACTATTATGGTCTGTCTTTTTCTTCTGTGTAAAATATCAAGAAATTCAGAACCTAAAGTAGATATTACAGACAAATCCATGATGCTGTCCTCCACCAGGCTCCATCACTACTCTCATGTATGATGCACCCCATTATTAAAAATTGAGGCCTGTGATAAGCCTAGGTGTGTTATCAAGCATCAGAGCTGCTCCTCTGGCATTCATGTCATCACAATAAATTGCAGGAAAGTAGGTCACTTCATTGGCAAATGCAAAGCGTGTTCCTGATGAAGAACCTGTGATCTCTTGCCTTTGTCTAGAAGACTAGCTTATTAAAAAATCTTATTCATATACTTATTATACTGAATTTGCATTATGTAAGGAAGTTTTATTGGCAGGTCTGTTCTGCCAACAGAAAGATTTGTTGCATGTTAATTCTGTTGTCCGTTGTAAAAGAACAATGTTTGATGAGAACAACAGTCGTCTTATTCAACACATAGGCCTACTGACCTTGCTGAACTACTCAGCACTTAACCGGGTCCCGTCACTCAAGATGAATAATACCTCTACAGACTTTCAGAGACTTCTCTTTGTCTGTACATCTGTTCAGATAACGGCTGAAGGATGATGATTTTTTTCTTTCTCAGCCTTTGTCAAGAGTGACGAAAGGAAAACCGTGCCATTAAAAATAAGAAAATCTGTGTCCAATTACCAGGGAATAGAAAGAACCTTTGTTTGAACTCATCAGTTATAAAATCACAATATCCTGAATGTGAGAGAAAGCTTTGTGATCACCCATTAAACTAACGTTTAATGGAGAAAAACAAATCTCCTCTGCAGAGGAATGAGACATTCACAAATGGAGACCTGACACAACTGAAATCGGATGACGTCTTGCTGATGTCTAAATAGCCATGCACTGTGTGCTCTTCTACTTTAGAGACAATCCCTTGTACTTTCAATTACAGCCTCTGCAAGCGGACCTGTCAGTAACACAGATGACACATGAGAGCGTGTGCAGAGTGTAACTGCACTGTCATCTCTCACAGCCCGATGTTGACTTTCACACTATAGTATTGCCCCTGCCTGCACAGCTTAGTGAGTTCACACCTTGTCACGTTTGGGGAGATTAGCCTGTCTGGAAGTGAATGAAAATTACAGATGTCTATCCAGGGAGCATAAACCTAACCAAGTATATGTAAAGTGAGAAGCTACTGAGCAACATATCAGAGTCATAACTCATCATAACTAATATGTTGGAATTTAATATTAATCATTTCATATCTAATAAGTAAATAATTAACACTGAATAATTGAAGCATCACAGGTCATTTACCTCAAAGATGATAAGAACATAGACCCCAGCAAGGATGATTCCAGCGATGGCCACCTGTGTCTCCACATTGACGTAGAGCGACTGGTGGGTCATGGATAACGGCACCACTTCATTATTCTGCAGGAAGGCCTGGACCGTGATGACGATGGGGTCACTGTGCGGGAAAGGAAACAGCACAGCAGCGAAAATGAGGTGCAGGTTTTATTTTCATTGAACACTGTCAATACCTAAACTAGAAAATGCTGTCAAGAATCCAATAGCAGAGACAAAATAGCATGTAAAGTACAATATTATATAAAGCTGTCCCAGAAAGAACATGGGTTCATCTTTCTAGTAAGTTTGGTGGAGTACCTGCTGAGCATCTCAAATGTTTTTGTCACCAGTATCTGGTCACTTCGTTCACTGTGTAGAGGAATGGTCCAATTGTGGATCACCTGTTCACAAACAGCAGAAAATAAATGAGTTTGCTTTTCACTTATAAACACTTCACAGATGAAACAGCAAAATGCATCACATAGACGCCCTCACCTGCTGAGTCCTCCTCCTCCGTTGTCCAGCCTGCTCGATCTGCTCCACCTGGATCAGGACATACTCCTGGTTGGTGAGGTCAATCATCCCTCCTGTGAAAGGCCCACCCACCTGGAGCTTCAGCAAAGCGTTGTCTCGAAAATCTGTCAGGTTCATTGCTGTGAGACGTGGACCGTCAAGAGAAAACTATGGATATGTTGAATGTGTGTTTGTCTGTTTGAAAGGGGACTGGCACTAAATCTTTTGCATACGACTGTATTTCTTTTTTATTTGAAATCACAGCATAAAGAAGTTTTTTTCTACTTTTGGTAGATGACATTTTGGAGCTGATTAAATGCTAATTTTCAGAATATAATAAAGACAAAAGGATCCTCCCTCCTTGAATATGACAGATGACAGATGAACATCACAGACTAAAGTATACATTAAAACACGGCAGTAGGGACCATTTATTCACCTGTCGGGACTGCTACTACTCCCTCTTATCTTCTCCTGCAACATCCACTCTGATTAAAGCTCCTTGTACTCCCTCTCTGCATGCCCTTATACTCAAAGCTGAATCATGTACCACCCCCCTCCCTGTTGATTAAATGCCTGTTGAGTCTTTTACAGCCCACTTTTTTGTTTTTCTAATTTCAGATCATAACATAAAATATGTAATGTGCATTGACAATGATGAAGTAGAAAAGGATACAGAAACTGTCTGTTGAAGAGACTGCCAACATCCTCCAAGGGTTGTCTCGATCTGGATACATGCTAAAGAACAGCTGGAACCAGAATACATTCATTAACTTATTATTCACTGGACTGTTAGCTTCGTCCAATTGATATGATTAACAATTAAAGAAACAGTTTAACATTTTGGAAAATACACTTGTTGTCTTGAGAAGACTGATGTCACTGTGTGTTAATTATGGAGCTAGAGCCAGGAGGCAATTAGCTTGGCTAGCATATTGATACAAAGCAGAGGATAACAGTAGCCTGGCTATCTCTAAAGCTAAACAGAAATGGAAAAACAACAATTTGTGGCCTAAGAGTCAGGAAGGTTGCTAGCAAACCAGACAGAAACGCTGCAGAGACTTACTGTAGGTGCCGTTATATTTTTAAACTTTGGCATATTTAGCTAAATGTGCAACTGTTCCTTTAATAGGAATAAAGACATAATGAAAATAAGTGAATAAAAACTTAAATTTGTACATTTTTTAAATCACAGACTCAAGTTTTTTTGTTTTTTTTTACAATGTGATGCTTTTGTCTTATTATGGGCCAACCAATAGTGTTAGTTCCACATCCACTTACACTGCAGAGAACAACAATAGTAAAGATTGTGGCAATTTTGGAGACTTTGAAGCAGCATCTGAAAAGACAAGTGAAGTAGACAGTCAATAGAATGAAATAGAACAATGTTCAGTATGATAGTGTATACCAGTGGTTTCCTAGAGGTCACAGTGAGTCACATTAATTAATTAAATTATTCTCCACAAAATCATATCTATTTTTTGCGCTTTTCTCTTTGAGCTTTTTTTTTGTAAAATGCTAGTTTTACTACTTTAGGTCACTAAAAGTCAAGTCAAATTCTATTTATATAGCCTAAAATAACAAATTACAATTTGCCTCATTGGGCTTTACAATCTGTAAATCTTAAAACACCCTCTGTCCTTAAACCCTTAATTTGTTTAAGGAAAAACTCCCTCCAAAAAAACCTTTTGATAAAGATATTCAAATGAAAAATCTATCTTTGAACTGCTCACCACTCAGGGATGAGGGATTACAAGCAGGCATGTTTTCATATCAAGCAAAAAAAAAAAAAAAACACAAATATATAATATAATATATAAAATATACAAAATATTCCAGTCAGTCTTAGTTTTCTACAGGCAACATGAGGGGTCTCACCTCATACTGCTGGTGAGTCTGAAGTTGAGGTTGAGGTTGTCCAGAGGGTCGTTCTTCTCGGAGGAGCTGGAGCGGGACAGAGACAGGCTGGTGACCTCACTGCCCAGCCGATATCTCTTCTCCAGGTCCAGTGAGCCGTTGTCCCAGTGCTCTTCCTCTCCAACGAAGCTGGGGTCATGTAGGGTCATGTAGGTTATGCTAAAAAAGAATAATCACTGTCAGTCCTCAGCCCCTTCAGTGACAGATATAAGCACTACATTGGCATTAAGGACAGGACATCAGCTCTTAAATTGAAAAATGTTTCTAATATTGTGCAGCAAAAACATGTCTGTAAAAGACGAGCATCTTATAATCACAATTTCATTACACGTGTTGTACAGCATTGTCAATTGAATCAATGTAAGAAGGAGGGATGTTATATGTTAAGCCATTTTATTAAACTACACTGTCATTCTCATTCTGCTTCAAATGTTACATTATTTGAGGCAAATACTAAAAGCAAAAATACATTATCTAGTTTTTGTTTAGTTTTTTCTGAAAAAAGTGATATTTTTAAAGCTAACCTGTAAAACTGCTTCAGTAAATCAGATACAGGCTTCCTGATTATGGAGCCCCAAGTGTATTAAATAAATAATACATTATAAAATGAATAATCATATGTTGTAAAATATATAAATGTACCAACAAATTGTAAAATAATTGTGTCTATTATTTTGTATTATTCCTTATTATAACTTAACTTGTTATTATGAAATGTTATTACATCATTCTTATTTTCACATTAACAAAGATTTTTGATTTAAAAATAGTATTTTTCCCAATGACTCTTTTCATGTTTTATAATTATTTCATCTTTCATAATATCACTTTTTATGTTGGTGGAGTTGTGAACTTAACTTTCACACACACACACACACACTCTGAAACAACAGAGAAAGAATATTTTTATTCTTCGCAGAGTTGTGCGTCTTTCTTTCCAAAGTAACTCTGAATTAACCTGCTAGCTGCTGCAGCCACTGTCTCATCAATTCTATGGTGGGTGATGACACTGTCATCCTAGCAAGCTAGTTGGGTCAGTAGTGTTCAACTAGGTTGGCTAGGTAGGTCATTCTTGTTGAGCTACATAAAAAGAGAGGTTAGTTACTGTATCTGTGTTTTGTTTTCAGACTCTAGTTGGTTGATTCAGAATTACTTTAACAGCAGCTATATCTGGTAGTAGTTGTTTAGCTTGCTACATCAAGAGAGGCTGGGGACGTGTTATCTGCTGACAGCTGATGAAATTTCAAAAATTACATTTAAAATGTGTATTTGAAACAAACAATTCTAGAATGACATGAACATAAACACATTTTCTATGATTTATTTGACAGTGTCTCATTGATTTATTAAATATTGGATACTTTGAGGCTCCATACTAAATCTATAATCTGAAGAGTAAGGAATTACTCACCTGTCATCTTGAGAGAATCTCAGCAGAGGCGACCTCTCTGTAAGGTTGGCTGAATTTGTTTTTCCTCTGAGAAAATTAACCACGCTAAAATTGTGCCTGAAAAAAAAAGAAGTAATGAAATACAACAAGTTAAAAAAAAAAAAGCAGAATCTAAATCTGTGCTTTTCAAAAACTGACAGACAGAACAGGTCTCAGCTGTCACAACACACACGTCATTCACTGGTCAAAGACGTTTGCCACCCTTTGTAACCCATGGGTGGCAGAAAGGTGGGTGAGCAGCTGGTGACTCAACACCTGAGGAGATCATTAAAGCGTCTTTTGTCACCCTGCTGCTGCACTGTATCCCTGAGGCTCCTGCAGGCTGCCCTCAGGAGCCTCACAGCTGGGTCCCAACCAACAGTCACACACACACACCTACACACACATACACACACACACACATATACACACACTCTCTCTGTTTGTCTTCATTTCTGTCAGTCACAGGTGAATACACACACACAAACACACATGTACATTTAAAGCTTAGGAAGTAATGTTGTCCTCCTCTACCACAATAATGGTTATTAACACCAATCCACTATTTCATCAAGCCCACGGTCATCTCAGCAATTACTTTGACAACGTAGAGACGTCATGAGAAGCGTTATGTAATGGAATACCAACCCACTGAGCCAAAACTGTTAGATGGAATTCTTTCGGAAAATTAAAGGTCCCCCTCGGCTTATCTTATAATCTTGAAGGGTTTTTACCCTCTGCCTGTCAAAAGGGTTCGGTCTTCCTTCACACAGCAGCAAGCATTTTGGTTTTTTGTTAGTTATTTTTTCTGTGCGTTAATTCATGTATTATTATGAGAAAATTGTGTTGCTGTATAGGGGAGGTAATTCAGTAATTCATAATGCATTACTTGTGCTGTTGTTATTGTCTTACAAGTCTGGCAGGCATTAACAAACAAGCTCCAGACAGTTGGGTGCTTTGAATCAATGAATGTGGCAAGGGTGTTGGATAAAGGAGTAGATTACATTACGGAAGTCTGCCGCATTAATCCTCTTAGATACTCTTATACAGCTATGAAGAGATTTACTGCATGTCTACAAATGTTTTCTCCCCTCATCTTTCCCTGACATGACTCTGATCCTGTCCCCTGGATGTGACTTGGCACTGAGCGTGCACAGTACAGAGGAGTCTTTAAAGGATATTGAGTCCAGACAGAATACAAGCTGAAGATGAAATTAGAAGGAGGTATGCAGAGGTCTTTTTAAGACACCGACAAGGACCAGTCCTTGTGATTAATATTGATCAATAGAAAATAGGTCATATTTTATAGAAGTTATTCTTCATTCTTATATGTTTATTTTTTTATATATACCAATTTATTATTTTATGTCTTGGAGAAATAGTCTCATAATGTTTGGTTATCTGAAGTTGTTTACAGTTTCTTTACTTACAATGCATCATGTTAATAAACATGCTATAACCAGCAGAAACAAGCTGTAAATACAACCCTGATATATTATCACCTTTTACAGGGGGCCACTTTAGCCCCTGTCTCTTTAAGCCCCCCCTCCCTAAAGCCCACTTATGTCTGATTGGCCAACTTCCTGAGCCTGCTGAGGGGCAGCCATTGACAGTATATGTAAAGGGCAGCACCGACTGCTCATGAGCACCCTCCGCCTCTCATCCTGTTACCAGTGCTCAGTGGCATATGACAGCTACATTAACTCAGCTTGGAAAAAAGCAATATGGGGCATTGTATCTGATAGATTTACTGTTTATCAGACCACAAATGAAACAAGAATTAGGTTGGAAAAATAATAGATGCAGGAGCAGAGCTCCAGCTGCTCTGCTTCAACTCTCTGTGACTTACTGAGTAACTGATGGAGAGATAGCGATACTTGTTGTAGTAGTAGTTAACCACTTACTGCTGCTAACTGTAGCTGCAGCTAGCTAGTTAGCTCGATAAGCCAGTCCTCTTCTACGAAATCTGCAATGTTTCTATAGTAGCCCAGAATGGACGAACCATGGGGCTCTCAATAGGGCATTTTGTGCCTTTTGTGTTTTCACGCTTTGAAGGGTATTCAGTTTGTTGCAATCTGCAACTTCACCACTAGATGCCACTAAATCGAACACACTGGTCCTTTAAAGTTTAAAGTTGCAACTTGTTTAATTTAGATCTCTCTTATATAACATATTTTAAGACTGCCAGACAAACAACCTGACAGCTACCACCACTGCAGAATTCTTTCCATTGAGGTATGAGCTAATCAGGCGAAAAAACATTCTCAAAATGCCAGATGCAATCATGTTCAAGCACTCCCTCAAAGCTTTTATTACTGCAAACAGGAAACTACAGGGAGCAGGTGAACAGGCTTTACTCTTAGAGAAAATGTTATACTCTGTCTAAATAAGCTAAATTTCCCTGTCAGTTAAATTACCCATCATCTGTGCACTTTATAATCATGTTTTGTCTTAATGTTTTCAGTTCATTTTTTGTAGTAGCTGTTCACTTTCTGTTATGTATTTGTTGTCTCATTATTAAAGGCATGACTTACATACTGTGTGTGCTCTGCAACCTCATTTAGTTGTTTAATCTGTGAACAATATTTATGTGTGTGAGTGTCAAAAAGTCATGTTTCCTCTGCAGGAATTCAAGAATGAAAGCGCCTGATTGCTACTCTAGACATGAAAAGTTATCATCATCCTCAATGAAAAAGGCTCAAATATGAAACAGCTAATCCTACCTCCGACCACATAGCCATGCAGGAGACACACAAGAATCAGCTGTAGTACACTCTTTGTCACGTGCAACTTTGACTTAGTTCATGAAGCAAAAAATTCCCCAGTTTAATCCCAATAACGTCACAGCCACAGGTTTGAGATTAGCAACCCCCTGATGACTGAGACACACACCCACAGTCACACACACATAAGTCTGTCTGTGTGTGAATGTTTATACTTTACAAGAAAATTCCAGCGTTTTCCACGTATGTTCATACATCCCGTGAAAGATTTAACCAACAAAGCTTGTGTAATGTGATACTGCACGTGTCGTTCTTTAAACTGTCATATGTCTTTCATCCAGAAACCAGTGAGAAGAGAGAATGAGTGCTAATCTCTTTCCAGACTACAACAAAAAAAATTGTAGTATGTAAACTGTTTGCCACTGGGGGGCAGCAGAAATAAACTGTAAACACAACACTCACACACTGTATTATCACATTTTGTGATATGATAAACTTGTTAACAAATAGTTGCTTAGTCCAATTAGTCTACTTTTAGCTGTTTTGGTCTCAACCATCTGCTGAGGGAAAGTCTCTTTGGCTCCAGATACGTTCTCCAGTAAGCCACTGTCTGAGTAGGTTGGGTTTTTAGAGCTTTTTTGCTGAAAGCTGCCTGCTGTGGTTAAAAACTATGTTGATGAGAGCAGTGAGTGAATCAGAACAGTAAAGTTGTGGGCTATATGACTAAAACAATGAGCTGAAAGATACTAAAATGCTCCGCAAGGCTCAGGGGAACTGTAGGGTGTGATAAGCATTGTCACTACAAGCAACCCTTTTCATATTGCACAAAATCAATTGTCAATAAATAATTTTGAAAATATTGATAAAAGCAGCTTTAAAGACAAATAAAGACTGGTGCTATCCTCAGTGTGGCATACCGTTATGGACACGGTTCTTTCTTTACCAAGCTAGATAGTCTATTGAGTTCAACCAGTTACATCCTCCAGATCAGTAACTTGTGAACTAAATAATCAATCCAGCTTGTAATCAAATGAGATATTGGGTCAATAAACCACCATGAAAGAGTAGAAACACTTTCAGTACTCATACCCGTCCTCTTGTCGAACAGGAACAAAGCCCTCAGCATGGATGGCGCACTGTCCCGAGGGCAGAACTGCAGACTGCTGCAGCTTCTGGGTCTCTCTCCTCTCTGAGATTCCCTGCAGCAGACGCAGCTCTCCAAAGTTCCCTGCAACAGCCTCTGGTGACCTCAGGCTGCTCCTGCCCTGATGGCCTTGGGCTGACGTCTGAGACATCTCAATCTCCAGGTTGCTTTTGTTCTCCAAATACATGGTGAGACTGCTGGAGGGCAGAAGGAAGCACAGTTTGATTCAGTAGATATCTCAAAACAGATCAATTAAACAATTAAAGTTGGTGTGTGGGACTTTTACATAGAAATGAACGCCATTCAACAACATTCAGGAATTTGTCAAACAAATTCACACAATGCTGATTAAGCTTATCGCCACCAGGTAACTTTCCCACGCTGGAGTAGTAGTATTGATGCGTTTTACATCAACCGGCAGTGCTGGCATTTTAAGCCAAAAAGGGAAAAAGGAAGTCAACTCTCCAGGGGAAGAGGCCCAGTCCATCCTGAGAGTGATGGTAGATTAGCTTGCCAACCCATGGCAATGACCCAAAAAGTCTTTCATAGACTTTCATAGTTCACCCATTCTACAGAATCAGATTATTCTCACTTATAGATTTACTTTGGTTATACGTCTCAAACTGAGTATTTCTATTTCCCAAACTCAGACCTTTTTGTAGAGATAAGGACTCATTCACTGTTAGTTGAATTGTGGGTATTGTGTTGACCACTGACTTTCTTGTGTGTTTTGTGTTTGTGTCATTACTCTCACTGCCAGTAGGGGGAGACAAACTTTCCACTCTGCAGCTTTAAACCTGCACCACTTGAAGGGAGTGAAAACAAACACAATGCTGACATATTATCGTCTTTTAAGTTGATATGGCTAACATGTTAGCAGTCCGTTGCCTATATAGACACACAGCAGATACAGAGCCACATTAGCATTTATGTTATGGTCACCTCGTCCAATATGTGAAATATTTGAAAAGGAACAAGAAGCTTTAGTGCTGATTGATCCACAGGCCGGGGCTCAGCTTCGGCACATAAGTATCCACTCGTCAGTGTCGTCAGAGGACACTTTGCACATCTTCAACAATGTGTATATTTTTAACACTTTTCTGAATAATTCAAACAATGACTAAAACACATTCTTTTGACAGCTCTAGAGAACATAGGCCTAATGTAAGAAATTGCGAACATCAGAACTTTCAGAGTTTTTTTCCTGTCAGTGGGTTTCCAGGCTACCTTGCAGATCAGCAACCTCTGTCAGTCAGATTGCCCGATGTCTGAGTCATAGGTGGATGGCAAGGTAGGGAGAGAAGTAGGCCAGAAACTGACAGGTTTAATAACAGAATGTAAATTGCTCCGATATTCTGCCAAAACTATACAGAGAAGTCATCTAGCGTTTTAGAGTTTAAAGCATAAGGAATGTCTCACCTTGTATTTATAGTTCATCAGATTAGATTAATCAGATTACAAATCCCAATTCAACCTCCGTATAAAGTGTATACTGCGGTTGTCACCTTTAAATGTATATACTTTGTAATGTAAATTTCCCTATTGTCATGCCACAAAGGGAGCTGAGTGATTCACATCAGCCATAAAGCACAGCATGAGGTCAGTGGATGAGGTCAGTTACAGCAGACATGTGGTCCTCACCAACACAAAGGCTGCATGAATTCAATGGGATTATTGCTCACATGAAAGGCAACATGAACTCACATGTGACATTCGAGCTCTTATCTGTGATAAAACAACTTTTAGGAGTAAGGCTACAGTCCTGTCAAGGGGCGGTAGAGAGTCGAATAACTGATCCTTCCAACAATTTGCAGAAAAAAAACTACTACAGTACGAGCAACCTGGTTCGCTTTAAACATAGTGGTTTGATCCATTGTTAATATATAATGATTGATTATAGCAGCTTTAAAGTTAAAAGTTAAGTTGCACCATTGATAGAACAAACATTATAATTAATTTATGCCTATTCCTTATTTAAAGGAACAAAACCAAATCTTTCAGTCATTCAATAACACACAAATAATCCTAAAATCCATATGTATGTTCATGAATGTATTCAAAATAATGGGCTGGCTGGTGTTTTATCACGCCTCACAACATAATACCCTTGTCCAATGCTTGTGATGTGCCTCATCAGAGAGAAGAATGATGCTTTTTATATGACATCCTGCCTGTGGGCTATGTGTGACGACTAAGACAAACTGCTTTCTTAATTTTTCACCACCCTCGTTCACAGCAATTAAAAATTCAAGATAAATATCTTTCAACAAGTGCATTAGGAATAAGACAAAAGCACACTTAGAGAAGGTTAACCACTGCAACCACAATACACAACACTGTAACACTGTGTCAAGTGTTTTTTTTTTATGTATTTTAATTGTCCGTATCAGGTAACGTCTGAAAATATAACATTATATAAAATACAGTTTTTCATCCATCCACCTCACATCCATATTAGTGGAATGAAAGGGATTTTTACAAAGCTTGTGTGGTACTGTATTAGCACATAATGCTTAAACCCCCTTAAACAAAGCCCACTAGTGTAATACAGTGGTGTAACTCCACAATACAAAGAATGCAAAGACTGCTAACTTCAGACTAAATTCAAACTTTTATTTTGGCGACAGAAAGAGAGAGAGAGACAAAAATGAAAATTATCAGACTTACCTTCAAAGACAAAGAATGACGATGATGATGATGAACACAAGGACAATGATGATGATGACAGCAGTAGCGATGATGATAAAGTTTGTGATGTTAAACGATGCACATCCAACAGCAAAGTTACAGGTAATTGGTACGGACAATCCTGTAAAAATGCTGTTTATGCTACTGATGCTGGGACTGTTTCTCTGGGTTTTGCTGTTGTATTTGAGCACAGTGACGTGGTTGAAGACAAGAGAGGCTGAGGTGTTTTTTCTCCTCTCCTGTGCTCCCCAGCGAAGGAAGGAGATGTTGCTGAGCAGCCTGGGTCTGGAGGAGATGAGGAGGTGGGGGAGTGGCAAAATTTGCTCTCCACTAATAGCAGAAAACTTTCTCCCCTCTTTTTACAACCAAACTCCCACACGCCACTCAGCTGCCTCCTCCCATCCCCCCTGGCTCCTGCACTTTAAATGCACCAGTGAAAAGAACCTTTCATGATGATTTCTTGAACTAAATAAATACAATTTTAGCACTAAATTGACGTGAAATTTCACATTTTGAAAAAGAAAGTAAGAATTTCAGTGTAATACCGATATGTTAATATCAGCTTATCAAAGCATCCTGATCTTGTAAAGATGACTTAAAATGTGATGCTAATATTAATTAGAATTTTGTTATTTTGTGTTACAATGCATTTTTTTGTGATTTGAGATTGATGTTGATTTTTCTGGGCGAGAGAGCTGTCAGACGTTAACCACTGAGCCTAACTCGCTATAACAGCGTGAGTCAACTCCACAGATTTAAGGTGTAGAAAGGTCAGACAGGTCAGAGACAGATAAGCTTTCAGGAAAACTTAAACCCCCGGACTGCATTTTCAGAAAATAATTCTCAGAATTTTTATTGCAGAGAATGGTTGTTATTTATCACCGTTCTCTCATATAAAGCACATAGTGTGCCCATCATGCTTCTCTAAAAAGCGGTGGTATATATCTCATTTGAAACCTTTTTGTCATGTTTTTGATAATTGTTTTAATTTCACCAGTTGTCCAAATCTTTGTGTTAGTTCCATATATATATATAGTGAGAGAGAGGTGATAAAAAAGATAAATATATATTTTAAAATGTATCTAAATGATAATAAAGGGGTTAAATGTAACAAAAGGTCTCACATTTTGGCTACCCATCAAATAACCCCATCTATATTCAGCATTTAAAGTTAATGTTCAGTCTCATATCCCTTGAGGCCAAAAGGTGTGAGAGTAAACCAGAAACTTTCCAAATTCATCCAAGTTTATGTTTATGCATCAGAAACAAAAAAGCAACAGAGCCACAAATAAATGGATTTGTTTAAAAATAGATCATTTGAACATCGACGACTCAAATTTAAAAATGAACTGTTATATGAAAATAAATAAATAAGAAAGAGCCAGGAAAAAAATTGCAGATTTTGGGGTCACTGTTGGGATCTATAACAAATATCAGACAGCATATCTTTAATTTAATCTTTTAATACATTTGCCTTTGACCCAACACAACTGAGCAGATTAGGATTTTAACATCCTGCCATCCATGAGTAAAAGGCAGTGAACCAGACTAACAGGACCAAAGTAATTAGAAACTCCCACCACTAAAACCTTCCCCCATTGACAGTTATCTATCCAGTCAACTGAACAAAATCAGTGACAAAAATATATTTCCATTTACTTTTCCTCCCAAAATGATCTTTGCAGCCAAGTGGCTACAGTCTAGAATTCCAGCATTCGCCATCTCCATTCTCAGAAATCAGTGAAGACAATGTTTCCCATTGAGCCGACAGAGTCACCTGGTATGGACTCCCTGTTTCCTGTGACAGCAGAGGATGAAAGCTACAAAGAGAAGATGTCCCGGGGGGAGACTGCACGCTGGTCTTGTGTGCTGATGTGAGATATAGTAGGGAGAACAGTGAAATCACATGTACAACAAGGAGAGAGGAGAGTGAGCCAGGGGCTTTGAATGACGTTAACTAGTGTAACTACAGACTCTGAGTCCTGGATGAATGAGTTACTCACTGCTGAATGGCGTTAATCTCATACATGCATAAGGTGAATGTTAATACCAACAATGTCATGTGACACACGATAACATAGGACAGCAATCATCATCATCTTGAAGTGCATTTATAAACCTCAGTTCACCTTGTGAATGTGAGTCTGTTATTTTCTTTTTTACTTACAATGTACTTGTAAACAATTAAAGGAGAAGTGTGTGGGATTGGTGGCATTTGGCAGTGTAGTTGTAGAGTGTAACTAACTGGTTTCACCCTTCCCTTCCGAGCACAAAGGCGGAATTAAGGTGACCGCAAAACAGGAACGGCCCTGTCTACAGCCAGTGTTTGGTTTTGTCCACTCTGGGCTACTGTAGAAACATTGTGGGTCAACGTGGCGGATTCCATGGAAAGCGAGCTACAGCATCTGTAGATAGCATCTTTTAAGGCAGCGTTCCCAACCTCCTTCCTTAAGGGACCCCTTTTCTGTTACTGAGTAAACTGACAACCTGTAACTAAGT